ATGGTAAATAAGAAACCATATGCACTGCAGAAGACACTGAGTGAAACGAAGTGCCCAAAGAACTTCCCAACTATTTCGGAGCGATACATGCAAAACCTGTCCAACATATAATTAAACAGACTGTAGACGCAAGCACTTGCAGTGGGCGTAAAATTCGGTCACCCACGAAACATAAGAACCGTGTGGAGATTGAAACGCAGTTTGAACACCTGAACAATCGAGCCAGCGACTTAGTTGTCAACTAAGATACGGATCTTGAGCATTTTATATCAACTTTGGTCAACGTTTGCTTTCAGTACCAAAGATATTCCATCGTTCATCAAAGTTTGCTAAACAGTGTGCACATTGACGCAAAGCAAAGAGATAATTATAAGGAAACCAGGCAAAAGATCCGAAATCGTGTCCATGGATCGTACTGCGTATGTGAACAAAATGAAGATGATCCTTTCAGACACCTCGTGTTTTATAACATGCGAACAACAAGACGGAATACACAGAAATGCAATTAAACAAATGTCTAAAATTTCTGGTGTGTGAGAGTACCTTAACCAAACAAGCGTATGAACAACAGAGACCTAGGGGCTCCACCATTTCTCGCCTTTATGATATTCCAAAGGTACATAAACGAGACACTTCACTGAGACCCATATTAAGTTTGAGCAGTTCGATACATCGCACGATGGTTGACCGAAATACTGTACCCCAGTTGACAAATGATTGCGCCTCAATGTCTGAATGACATTTGATCAACAAATCAGGAAGAAGACATAGCTTGCGATATGTCAACAATTCTACTGTTCTCCTCAGTCGCATACACAATACAAGCAGAAACCCATGCACATATGTATACATGGGAAAAAATTGGCACACCAATCAAAACGTCAAAATCGAGACCAAGACCAAGGCAATTTAATTGATTGCCTGAGGAGTTTTTGTGCACATAGCACCGGTTGATAGGCTCTAGCTAGCAACTCCGCACTGATTGTCAACATTATGGGGTTCCGGTTGCGTAATAGCACTTTGAACGCAGCCTTCAGGTCCACATTGTGACCGGTTGTCACGAGGTGCTTGGTGATAGATGAGGACGGAATCCGGTTCATTCTAGGGGCGCTCCGGTTTGTTGCGTCATCATTTGTTCAACCCACTTTGTCAAGTGTTCAGCCACTTGCTGGGTCAACCGACGGCTGGTCATTGCAACTGCAGCTGAACTGATAAACCACATGAGAGGCCGAACTAGCCAAAGAGTAGCTCTGACGATCCTGAATAACATGTTGCCGCGTAGTGTGCTTGAGGCGCAACTGGGCAGTCGTGTACGTACGTGTTACGGCGGACCTGAACTTGTGTCTGATGTTATTTGCTACATGGCCTACCTTGAATGGCAGAAAAAGATAAATTGCTTATTGCTCTGACGTTAGCACCAGCAGTTTCCTTTTGGGGAGTATGCTGAGCACTTGAATGAACTTTTCAGGGTAGCCATTGGACACCAAGGTCCTGTGCAAAATCTCTTCAGCTTCCGGCGTTACTGGAATACAAATTTGTCTGGCCCTGTAGAACAGCGTTTCCACTAGGCCGCATTTGTAAGCAATCGGGGCGAAAGTGGAAAAGTGAACGTACTGCCCTCTACAGGTTGCCTTGCAGAAAACGGTGAGCTGCAATATACCTCCGTCCCTCATCTTAATGAGGATATCCAAAAATACCAGGCAGTAAGTATGGACATCCGGGACTATCCAATGTTTTCCGTAGACGTTGGCTTTCTGTTTACCAATATACTTCTGATAGAGATCGTGAATCTCCTGTGCGTGTACATTGACTAACGAGAAGTAAAGCTTGGTATACTAACAAACCAATAGAACAAGTGTTCTTAGGTGTGTGCTTGATGTGCAATCCCAATTCAATAACAAGCTGTACAGACCAGTCGACGGCGTGGCAATGGGATCACCTCTTTGTCCGCTGCTAGCAGTTATCTACATGGAAAGTCTGGAAGATAATCTAGTCATTTCTAGTTTAAAGTATTACTGATGATATATTGATGCTTTAAGCTTCAGGAGCCACCGGAGAAACCAAGTTGCAAGGCATAATCGATAGTTTCAACAACCCCCATCCCATTGTTGCTTTCATAGCTGAAGAGGAAAACAATGTTCAGATGAATTTCTTGGACGTGAGATTGAACAGACGAAACGATGGGTCGATCCAGATGAAACTATACAGGAAGCCTTAATGGACAGGCCACTACACGGATTTTTACAGCTTCATGTCCTTAAGCCGTAAGAGGACATTGGAGCAACCCTTGACTTACCGAGCATACAAAATGTGCAGTGATGACACCATCGAAAAAGAACTCAGATGAACCAAAAGAGCACTCCTAGAGAACGAATATCCGGAGCATTTCATCGACACGCACATGAAGCAGAGGAGTCCAAAAGTAGGAACGCAGACAGACGAAAAGAGGTAATGTTTTCTGACTCCACTCTTCAAAGGAAAAATGCCGAGGGTATCTACCCGCGTAGACTGGTACGAAGCTGCAAAAAAGTTTAACACAGCTCAGTAAAACTTAGTATACACGAACAAACCGCTGATTGTTCCGGAATCCAAAAAATGAGTGCCAGATCATCTACAAGGGATGGTAATTTACCGGTTCAAGTGTTCCTGTGGGTAGAGGTACGTTGGACCTACGGCCAGGCACTTAGGTCAGAAAAACAAAGCAAGTCTCCTGAGTTGGCTTATCGGCCAGAAAGATAGGACATGTTGCAGCTCAATAACTGATCACTATCTCAACACTGGTCATCATGTAAACAAGTAAACCGATTTCAAAGTCTTGCATAAAGTACCAAGAACATAAAGACTGCTTGTTACCGCTGAGGCGGTATGCAAGCGGTTAACAAAACCCGACCTATGCGTGCTAAAGAAAATGGTGCAGTCGTTGAAGCTTCTATGGCCAACCACCGGACATAGCCATCAAACTCTCTTCTTTTCAGTCACATGCTTAGTCATTTTTCACTTGATCACGTTAAATGAGCAATCAATTATTCTTTTTCCATTTTGCTAACAAATGAAATCTAACAGTGTACCCGCGTCTACTACTGTACACGCCTGAAGAAGAATTGAAAACGATAATTTGCGTATAGCTCATTGCCTTCTTTCCTTCTCACTAAGTAGCCGCAACATTTGCCTATAGGTCTTGTGGGCGCTTTGTCTTTCGGCTGGTCTGATGGAGGATGAATATCGTTTAAGTGAACTTCATCCGCAGCCTTAAACCAAAACGTTTTGCTCCGTAAAGCAGAAAGGCGATTAAGGTATCTCAAGAACCATTGAGAATAGATTGCTGATATGAGGAAATCCTAAAGCACGGCGTACTAACCGCCCGAATAGAATACCACCGAGGACAGTGAAAGTTTTCTGACCAATGAACTTGCCGCAAGGTATGAAGACCGTAGACAACGAGGCGTCTCACAAAGCTTCATAGCATTCTACTAAAACAGTAGCTATAATGTTGTTCATCCATCGTCCGTTGGGCACTCACATCTGGTTGTAGAAGCGCGCACTGACCCCGTAAGCACTTACATAGGATTTGACACAAAGCCGTACATGGGCTTGTGGTGTTTAATGGGGCAACAGATGACCAGCTCAGAGCCCCCAAAGTCTAAGAAACTTCCAAAAATTCTCCCTGCCTGCTTATTCATTTCAGCTGCAAACTGACTACTTATTTACAGCAGTATTTCTAAGGAAGGTATTCACCCATCCGCAATCTGGGACGCGTCGGTGGAGTAGAGCCTCGCCAATCCAACTAGGAGTCGGGTCTCTCCTTGACAAGGGTGCCGAAGTCGATGAGTACAACGACCAGAATACTATAGATATGGAGGGATCGAAATGGCAAAAAGCCGTTCCATACTCCGTGTTGGATGCGGCCACCACTACTTCAGATGAGTAATTCTGTGGTAGAGTTTCAGCACCTTTTAGATGTGACTTAAGCAGCTTCTGCATCTCTGCTATTTCGGCTCAATGAGAAGTGTGTATATTGGACTACCTAACCGCAACATAGTATTCAGGTTACACCAGACGGGCTAAATCGACTAGCGCTGTAGAAAAATGTGGTAATAAATCCCGCTTCGCAAACCATTCACATGCACGTATGTTCCATACACATAACAGACTATTTCTTTGCTCGAAGAGTTTGTTCTTTTGCTTGAGGAAAACAATGCATATTAGCTTAGTACTTTAGTTGAACTATTGGGTGAATACGTTTAACAGAAAAGTTGCTATGAAAGGAAGTCCCGCAACTATCAATCTGATTCACTCATCATCATCATCTTTATACACGTTAGCTACAGGTGTAAATCACCTCAGCTACTGTGTCGCAATACATAAAAGAAAAAGAAGGTGCAACAGATGTATGCCAGCTGAGCTACCAGCAACGGATGAGCATCGCTCCGGCTACTAGGCAACAAGAAAATTTATGATATAAAATTATATTATGCTACTAGATGTGATCGTGTTGGGAGGGGGATTAAAAGGGATGGGGAGGGACAACGAGACTCACAGCAGGAACGTCACTGAGGTCGGCTCCTTGCCATGTCAGCAAGTGTATCTAGCCGAACGTGTTTATTCACTACTTTACATTAACTCCATCGGCTACCCGGCAACATTTACATTAGCGGTTCTTACTTATTTTGCACTCCGCTCGCTCATGCTATTCGCATATTTTCTTTTTCTCGCTTAGTGCTTACATTGGTGGTATTCTTTTCATCACACCAAGCTACTCATGATTGCCACAACTGTATCTCTTTTCACAGATCAGAGTACGAAGTAAAAACTTTGACCCTAAGTGATTGCAGGCACCTTCTAGCAGAAGCACTGTCGATTAAGGACGCATTCCGGTTCCAAAACTACTGAGAAAGTTTATTTTTGCCTTTCGCTTCTCTTGCACTCTCTATGGTGTGCAGCATAAACCTACCATTCCCTTGGCCAGCTTAGATATTGATGATAACATGCAGACATTGCACGGTCAATAAGGTTTATCAATCGTTCACAAGAGCAGCGTGGAAGCATTTTATTGTCAGAAGGTTGTTAACTCTGTACAAAAGACAGCAATTTTTATATACAACTCTGAATCAGCTTATTGATGTACCTTGCTTCTGGTTGTGGCCATCCGTATCTTGGTCGCTTTTCCAATTACTCTGCTTGCCGCTATCTGCAACTCTTCTGGTGAATTGCTCAGTAAATGCATAAGGGTAGACATGATATCGGACGCTCGTATAGCCATACAAACACGAGAATCATCGCTTAGTATTTCCAAAGTTTTTATAACATTCATTCGCACTTCATAATCACCATCAGTAATAAACCTAACAAATGGACGGAGATACTCTTTTCCTCGGAATGCTTTGAGCATAGCATCAGTGGAAGCAAACTGGACTACAGCCGCCGAAACTCCGGTCCGAAGAGCATTTCCACGAGCAATGCTGATGAGATTTATCAGGTAGGGGACAACACCTAGTTCGGTTAGAATCTCTTGGCCCTCTTCGTCTGAGGCAATTTCTGCCAGAAGAGAGCATATTGCGGCTACTATTTGTTCTGCGTCCGAGTCCACCTCAAGATCCGATTCACTTAACTTACTGTACTCAGTGCTCAGTCTCTGCACCAGAAGACAGAGTGAACCACTTACTGGACGTAGTAAAACTGTCCTGCTTGGAGCGTTGCTCAAGAACGCCTTCAGAGCCACCAAGGCAGCCTGACACACTTGACTGTTGGAGTGAAAACACAAGGAGAAGAGAACACGAAACACTCCACGCTGCTCCATCATCTGTCTCAGGCTGCCATTGGAAACCATTGAGCTGATAGAATTAATCGTTGGTACAATGATATCCGTTGACGTGTGGTCTAAAAGATGTATCAAAGTATCTATCACAGAAACCTGAGGAACTAGGCATTTCTGCACCATCACGAGCGAGGATAAACGAGCAAGGCAAGCAACATTCAGCGCACAGACTTTCTCCAACAAGGCTAGTTTGCGCAGTTTAGGTGAAATTGTGCAAGACGGCTGACGGTAAATGAGTACGTGCCGAGCTAACAGTTCCATCAGTTTCGTCAAAAGTTCGGTGACTCCGAGTTGGTGTAAGAGAGCGATATCGCATTCCATGGTAATGAATTTGGTCATCGTTGCTAATACAGTGTGTAGAAGTTGACATACAAACAATCCATCAGCCACTGCATCGGGTGTAGATTGGATGTCAATGTCTGACGAAGAATCACTTGCCTTCGTTTGTTTTGCAGGCACACCTGCTAAGTGAAAGCGGCTATTACTACCCTCCCTACCTTCGTTCAGTGGATTGCTCACCTTTTCAATGTTAAGTTGTAGTACAGCGTTGTTGTTCCCGTCTCTAGTGGCGCGATTAGAAACACTTTGGAATTCTTCAATCGTCTCCAACCAGCCTGCATTAATCAGTTTTGTGGCAGCCACAATTTGGGTTTGAAGTATCTGAACCAAGGCCTCCGGGCCATTAACAGAGCGCACTATCTCTAAACTTTTCGGGTCATCCAGGCAGTGATACAATGCCCTGGAAGACTGTAATTTGACGCTCAAGTCTGGATTGTGTAAGTTTTCGACCAGTGGTTTTAGAATTCCCTCGGAACGGAGTGATATCCTGAAAGCCATATCGGCTGCACACCCCTGTATTATTCCCAAGACAGGGACAAGTATGTTCGGACTATTTATCTGAATAACACGAATCAAAGCAGGCACCAGTCCAGCTCGCTGCATAAGCCTCCGATTGATTGCAGTACGACTGAAGCGCCATAAGGCAGTGGCAACTGAAACCAGGACAGATTCTAAACCTGATTTCTCTTTCACGGTTACGGGACCGGATTGCGTTTTGGTTCCGCTAGATAGCGAACAAGTATAAACAGAGCTTTTCTCTACTTTTTTTCTCCGGCTAGAGATGGGAGCGGCTAACTCTAAGAGACAAACCAAGTGTTGAATCCCTTTTGTTTTGGTAACTGATAGTCGAGCTTCTTTTAATAAAGCTAAGCTGGCCAGCAGATCAGAAGACGCTCTCTTAATTTGATCTTCGGATTCAAGAAGTAGGTCCACCAGCACTTGTACAGCACCGAAGGCTATTGCCACTCTTCGCATGTACATCATTTGGAATAGGCTTGAGAGTAACTTCATTGATGCTAAGACTACAGGTGTGATCTTGCACTCAACCAGATTAAGCAGTGTTGCAATTCCGTTACTTACTTCAATCGCCTGAACCACTTCCGGACTGCATTTTATCAATAAATTTAAGGACAACAAAGCAATTACTGTGCCCTGCGGATTGAGTACATTGATGTAACGAAACAACTTCACGATTTTATAATACACGTGACTCGTTTGAACTGCCCCCGTATTCTGAAGAATAATGGATTCCTCAAAATCACGACGTTGTAATTCCTCATCGATTTCATGAGCGAAAGGATTGTCCTCCATTTCATCATCTGCATCCAACGTATCCCGCAGCTCGACCTGCAGCATCTGCATGTCTAAATCATACAAGTGACGCGCACGGGAAGACCGATGTTTTTGAGTCCGGAGTCTTTCACGAGTAATGAAGTCGGTAAAACGAAACGAACGGTAAAATCTCGAAACCATTAGCGGCTTTTTCTTGACTCGGGGAGATGAGCGGTACAGGAATTCTTTGTTTGATTTTGCTGTTGTACCACGCTTATCATCTTTTGAATTAAGATGACCGGGTTTTGGTGACCGTCTCCATGTCTTATGGGACAATGATGAAAAACCGGTGTCAGACTTCATGTTTTCCGAAACGGACGAATTAAACTGGATATTCAGTTGTGGTAGTTTCTCAGTACGTATGACTCATTTATGGGCTCAACTGGCAATAGCTGTAGGCCTATTGATTATTTTCTATGGTTAAGTGCGTTTAAATCCCAGACTGTAGAGGTATGCTGAGTGTTATCCGTAGTGAGTATCAGTAGCGGAACACAATAAGTATATACCATCAACATCACTGCTGCTAAAACCTCATAACTAAATGCTTTTCTAAGTCAAAATGCCTCTAGGATGGGTTAGAATCAACCAACTTGACAGTCCAAAATGTTGCTAACCGCTGTCCCTCGCTAGCGTTCCATTAGAAAAGGAGGTGGGGTATTTGGACAGTGGTTTATGACAAGTGAATATTCAATGTTCAAAATTTTCAGCAGACTGACGAATTTTACATTTTCGGAATTAAAACAAATTTACCGGCGAAAGCGTTATCTTGCGTGAACGTACCAGAGTCAAGTCTGGAGATTAACAGTGATGCCATGGTTTGCGTGCCTCAGCGATCCATTGAGCTATGCTGGGTGGCGCTTTTTTGCATCTTCAGAACCACTTATACCAGCTTGGTCAATGGTTAGAGGCCAGACCAAATCAGTCTCCTGGCCCTCCAGGTTAGGGGCTGAAATGAGGGTGGTACCTTATTCCTTAAAACCGACTCCTTATAGTCTATTGCCAAACCCGCTGCCTTGCGGCAAGGTTTTTGAAACAATGCTTTGGTTGAGAACCCTAATCGTTCTCCTGTCTAAGCCTGGGCAATCTGACAGTATCCTGCCCACGCAATACTGTGAATCTTTCGTCAAACAATTTCTTGATGCTCTGGCCACCGCAGAGGATAATCAACGGTGCCCTATCTGCTACATCGAGCAGGGCGAATAACCATTTGTATGCGACTGCTCAAGCCTTCCCGTCTTCTTAGTCCCCCACTTGGCGTTTTCACCCTTATAGTCCCATTTCACGTTCCCTTGTCTATCCTTGTTTTCAACCCCCAATTCGTGACCCTCCCCACCATGCTTTCATAGGCGTTCATCTCATAGTTTCAACTCACATGTAACCGCGGAGCGTCACTCTTGTCCTTAGGACAAGCCCATGTTTACTCAAACGGTCAAGCCCAGTTCATCGACTTCTATTTGGAGCCCCCATCCTCCCTCAGATTGGCCTGCGTCAATGTACGCACACTGCTACAGGCAGCACTTGACCGAACATTAGAGACCCTCTCGATCGATATCTGCTGCTTATCGGAGACGCGCATGCAAGGCTCGAGCTCTGTTCTCACTCTGCGATACCCTGCAGGTGACACTACCAGTACCTTCTCACTTCGCCTATCGAGAGACGATGCAGCTTCTACTAGTGGCAAAACCGGTGTTGGTATTGCCCCGAGTTCCCAAGGTGAAGTTGCTCTGGTCGGTTGGATCCCAATCAGTCTGGTTCGTTCAGAGCTTCGAAGTCGCGCGGAGCTAATCGATGTCTGTTTGTCAATGCTGTGTACGCCCCCACAAACTGTAGCGATTATTTCTATCATCAACTGAATGAGCTACTTCGCCACAGAAGAAGCACGGACACTGCAGTGTTGTCTGGAGATCTGAACGCTCAAGATGGAAAATTGTCCACTGTTGAGCTGCATCTTGGCGGCCAACTCGGTGTAGGCTCCCGTAATGATAACCGTGAGTGGTTCCTTCATTTGTATGGAGCTGCTCGCTTATTTCTTGTGAGCACTAACTTCCGACACAGCGCCCGTCGGAAGGTGGCATGGCGCCGACCAGCCTCAAACAAGCCATGGATTCAAATCGTCCACATTGCGAGCAGTTCTCTCTGGAGAGGCTCGATTTGAAGCACCTGTGTGAACACCGACCATGCACTTGTACGTGCTGATCTGCGGGCGAGTTTTGGTGGTCGGCCTCGACGACCGTGTGAGGTCATGGACACTAACTCTCGAAGCCAGCTGTTCTGAACGCGTATCGAAGTGCGCTGACTTGCGGATTACTTAAGCGCTCACTGAATACGGTTGAAGGACACTGGTCACGTGTTCACCAGACCTTACTAGATGCACCTAAACCATCATGTGGTAAATTCACTAGCCAAAGTAGACACTGGGTTTCTTCGCAGTCGCTAAAACCCATCTATGCTGACCGGCACATTCCGGCTGGAAGTGAACACAATGAAACTCGTAACGAGCTGAGGGCAAAACTCGATTCTATCCTGAAGAGAGACCGCGAATCCTGGTGGTCTCATGATGCGTCAGAGATAGAAGTGGTCGCTGCCTTGGTAACCATCGGAAGATATTCAGTGTGTTTCGGGAAACGGGCTGCAGGAGACATGGTGTTAGTGAAACTATTTATGACGTGTGTGGACAGCCAACTAAGAACTTGTCAAAATGTATAGAGCCTTTGGCTGAGCATTTTGAAAGCAATTTAAGCGGCTGGAATTGTTAGATTCCTCATCATGGCTCTCCGTTTGGATCCGCCCTCTCTCACAGAAGTCGAATGTGAGATCGGACTGCTGAATTTGAATAAAGTCGCGGGACCAGGTGATCTTCCTCTATCCCTCTTCAAATTCGGGGTACCTACTCTTTTGTATGATTTATAAGAGTTACTAGTGCGGCTGTGGGAGCAGGAAGCTGTCCCAACCGAGTGGAGCCGCTCCGTTAGGGTTCCGATCTTCAAAGGAATCTGGCGTTCTGAATGCGGCATCCATAGACGAATCAGTCTGATCCCACATCATCTGTTTTTCGTCCGATTGTAACCTTTCTTGAATACAATCCGTTGTGTCCGTTCTTTCTGTTTTCTGGTATCCGCACCGGAGCAAGGACACTCTCGTACTAGTACAGACTAGTCCTGCAAATTGGTGACATCGATTCGAATGCATGAATGTTCGAATATTTTTGGTCGTTTAGTTTTCGGTGAGTACATTTCAAGTCATTTTCCCCTAATCCATAGTGGATTGTTTACCGTCCATTTGTTTTTAAACTTCACTAGTATTAATCGTATATCATGTCTAACGCCAGTGTAAAACCAGAGTCGGGCAGTAGCATGAGTTTGCTCACTTTGGCTATTCCGGACTTTGTGGCACGTAAGCCCAGCGACTTGTTTTTCCAGTTTTGACATAGAGCTAGAAAACAGAGCGATCTATACTGATCAAGCTAAATACAACCAACTTGTTCCACGCCTTCCGCAACACGTGGTGTAACGTGTTCAGGATGTACTGCTTCATCCGCCGAAGGACGGTAAATAGGAAGCTATGAAGCAATTGATCCTAAAGGAGTGGCAACCTAGCGCTCGTGCTGGATTGGAAGGACTGCTTAATAGCACTAAGCTAGGCGATCGCAAGACTTCAGTCTTGCTCCACAATATTCAGCAGATAGCTGGCCATTTGTACATGAGTGCAACAGCTTCTAAACAATTTTTGGCTTTCCCGCCTATCTAATGGTCTTTCTTTAATGTTTGTAGCGTACCCAGATATATCACTCAAAGATCTGGCCATAACCGCAGATGCAGCATGTGATAGAATCCCTCAGCACCCCAAGAAATTCGGTAACATTTTTGTCATATAAGCTGATAGAGACTTTAGTACGAAAGCGTCCACGCAAACATACCCGAGAGACGAAGAGATAGCCGCGCTTAGCCGTGAAATAGGAGAAATGCATTTAGAAAGACAGGGCTTTATGAGACGACACGCCGACCCTGAAATAACCGCCATTCGGCACTGCGCCTGTCAGTCCCGACCTCCACCGTATAGGTCCAGGTCACTGCGCAGACGTAGTCAATCCCCTCCTCGCAGTCGAGCGCGAAATGCTACTTTAATGAATGTGCTGTTATCATCGCCAATATGTTGATAATGCTGGACGTTGCCGTTCACATTGCACCAAACGTGGGGTAGTGGCACAGAGATAATAGCTCGCCAGCAGGTGAATGCGGCGCACGGGTCTGGCAGCGACAGAACAGGTCGTCTGTGTCACGTCACGGATAGGTGCTTCCGCGTCACTTCCTTATCGACACAGGAGCCGAAGTGAGCATTATCCCTGCCAGCGCATAAGCCATGCAGTCAAAGCCCATTTACAATCTACGGGTCGCTAAAGGCTCACCGATAACTTCATACGGTCAGCGCATGATGAAGCTAGATTTACATCTCCGCAGAGACTTTCAGTGGGTTATAACGGTTGCGGCAGTACCTTTCATAATCAGCGGCAACGACATTATTTGTCAGTTCTGATTGTTTGTCGAAGCAGGTCGACACAGAATTTTAGTTGACCCTACCAAACTTGGTGTTGTTGGCGCCCTTTCCGATGCCCCGATAATCAGCCCTGTACTTCGGATTTCAGACGCACCGTCCGACTATTTCATCCTCCTCTCCGATTACCCGGGACTGGTTCGACCGGCTGCAAAGCTTCAAACATTCATGAGAGAGATCGCTCACCGCAACGTCACGCGCCGTCGAACAGTTAGCGCAAGACCAAGAAGGCTTGTTCCAGACAAACTACGTGCAGCATGATCCGTATTCGACCACATGCTTCAGCTGGGTATCGTCAGACCGTCCAACAGCGCATGGGCGTCGTCTCTCTACATGGCCCATGTTACACTCAACCGAAATCAGAACAACAGTATTGCAAACGGAAGTTTAGTAGAAGCAATGGCAATAGTACATCGGCAGTCCACACTGGGTACAAGATCAACTCTTTAGTTTTACGCAGTTCACATGTTTTAGCTAAGCACTCGCTCTTGAACCAATCAATAAGCGTCGCTTGTTAGTCGGGAGATGGACGCTCATGCACTAGCGCGCACAATGCAGCTCCACAGGTTAGGTAGTGTAGCGTGACCTTGACGCGCTCAACGTCTGTATCAATTCTCCCACCTTTAGTTGGAGCTATCCAGCTTGGAAACGATCGACCGGTCGGCGTCGGCGCTCAGAGCGCCGCAATTGTGACTCAACGTCACGCACGTGCATGTCGTTCGATGTTTGAGATGGCTGCTCTGTCTCGGCAACTGTTTCTGTGTCGGACAATCTCGGTCGCACATGATCTAAATGGCGTCGAACGATCCTTCCATCCTCAGTCGCTGCTTCTATTATCTGTCCGTTAGTTGTTTTAACGACGCATGGCGCCCACCCCGAGCCTGCAGGTAAGCGGATGTAGGTGGGATCTGAATCTGTCACATGATTGTCTCTGCTACAAGTATCAAAGCGCTCTTACACTCGTTGTTGTTTTTCCGAAACT